CAGAAATAGAAAGTTTTTATTTTATCATGAAATAGCAAGTTTTAATTTTATCATGAAAATTTTGTGTTGACTAGTAAGAGCTCACTGAATAAAAGCAGGTGGAAGGAAAACTTTAAATGCTATTTCTCTAAATACACATATAAAGCTAATTATTTTAAGGGTATTTGAGAACTTTAACAGTATAGTTGCACATTAAAAGATCAACTTCTCAAATTCCTATTTAAAATTTTATTTTAATGGTTGCACTAATTTGAAATATTTTTTGCACTAAAGAAATATTTGTTGTTTGATCAGGTATTATTGAGTAAATAAGATCTTCCATTGAAACAAAACAAAATGAATATCTGATCATTCTTACTACAATTCCAGCTTTAATTGTATTATTTTTACTTAAGGGATATTGCAAATATCATGAAAAGTTTTAAACATACAATGTAAGGGAGTTAGCTAATCATTTATATTCTTGTTGCAAATTATTGAATATATTTGACCAGTTTTATTTTTACATAAATAGGAATTTATGTAAAAATAAATGTAAATAAAATCAAATATTATATAATATACTTAAATATATTGAATTTGGTTAGAATATTAATAACATAGTTGCCAATGTAAACTGTTTTAAAGTTAAATAGGTCAGTTTAACAATCAGATCATTAAGTCAAGGTAGAATTTTGTAAAACCTTTGAACAAATGTGTTATTTTAATTGCCAAGTGCGTTTCAAGAGTTGTAGATTTAAACCTCTTTGAGCTTATGGTTCTTCTTATGTGTACATCCAAGTGGAAAAGTTTGACCTTTATTCTTTTGATTAAGATTTGAAATAGTAATACAACAGATGTGACAGAAGCAGAGAATACTAATTTAAACTTGTATCACTACTGTGCACTCACACTGATCTTAAGAAACGTTAATTTGTTGAGTGTGAACACAAAAAGGAAGATTTGAGTTACACTCTTGACAGGACAAAACATTTCTGCGGAGTCGTAAACATCTTTTCCTATTTTTTTTTTCCAATTTCAAAGTTACATCACTTTGTCTCTTAGGGTCTTGGATTTTTTTTTTTTAATTTTATTTTTTATAAATATATATTTTTATCCCCAGGGGTACAGGTCTGTGAATCGCCAGGTTTACACATTTCACAGCACTCACCATAGCATGTACCCTCCCCAATGTCTTAGGGTCTTGGATTTTTCAGCAGTTAATCAAGATTATTATAACAACATAGTATCTGCCCCAATCACTAAATTTCTTGAGGTTATAGAGTAGGTTCCCAGAGAAGAGTGTATACATTGTCATTTTTACTGCACTAAATATATGACGTGAAAATGAAGGGCTTTTTGTTAGTTATCCATGAACTTAGGCAAGAGGAATAGCATATATACTTCATTCCTCACTTCCTAACAAGATTAAGTAATTGAAGGTTTGCCAGTGGAAAGCTTGGGTTGAGGCACGTTAAGCAACTTCTTCATGTCACCCAGATAACAGTGAAAACTCTGAGCACCAGACTCATTTCTGTGCTTCATTTCCCTAGCCTCTCTCCCAGACACCACCATCCTGAAGGTGGAGGCCTGAGATCAGGCTGTACACAGGAGAAAGACTGGAGAGGAGAGCAGGAGTCTTTTCTAATCTCTGAATTATCAGGAGCTAAATTGATTGGATAAGGAACTGGGTAAATTGTTATAAGGGAAAAGACCATAGCAGTGCTAGTGTGGTAATAAAGACTTGGTATGTCAAGAGGAAAGTGCAACGGATTTGGGTCTCCTCAAATTATTAGTCTTAATGAAGATTTATCATTTTTCTTCTTTGGCAGAACAAACCTGTAATGGCTTTCGGATTGATAACCCTTTCACTTTGCGTGGCGTATATTGGTTATCTACATGCAACACAAGAGAATACCAAGGACCTCTATGAAGCTGTTGATAGTGAGGGACACAGTTACATGAGGAGGAGAACATCGAAATGGGATTAATAGTGCTGGATACTGCAGATGGAACTTCATAAAAGTCTCTGAAATCTTTGAAGGAGAGACTGTGAGTGCATAGTATCAGCTTCTTGTTCTAGAACGTGTTGATGAGGAAAGAAGGTAGCAGTTGCAGCCAGGCCTTAAGGCTGTATTCCTTACCTCATTCTTTTTCCATAGAGGGAGCTTCTCAATATTGTTCTTTTATTAAGTCCTCGTATCAAAGTGCCAGGAGAATGGAAGTCGTTTTGTTAATTATTAAGTTCTGTATAATAAAAGTACCCAGTGCTGTCAGATTTGCAGGGTATTTTTAATATTTTAAGGTGAATTGTGTATTTGCAACTGCTGTGAGGGTTTTGTTTTGCTATTTGCAAAGGCAATGATCATTTTCTTCCTGGCACAGAACCCGTCTGTATTTATGAAAAAGAAAGAAAAATTGTAAATTATTGTAAAGCCTGTAGTCCACATTCAAGACAGATTAATTTTTACAGAGTCAGAGATGACTCAAATATTTTGGCATTCTATTTCAGCTATTTTTGGTACAGAATTTTATTTCTTTTGAAAAGGTAGTCCCATTCAACTACTAACATGAGTAAATGGGAGAATAATCCAATGAAATTGGAGTTTTTCTTTGAAAAAGAAAGTATAGTATACTGAGATATGTTTTTATTTGATTACAACCAAATGTTACCTATTTTAGTTTTTATAAATTAATGTTACAATGATACTAAAAACATAAAACCAAATTTGCTTATGGTTATTTTAAAACTAGAACTATTCAACAGATAAGAAGAGGAGGTCTTCTTACTCTCCTGAGTTTACCTTATATAATTTAAATTTTTCTGACAAGGGTTTTGGACATGTTTCATTTATAGATTTTTACCCTATTTTCCAAATCCCTGTAATTGGGGGGTCAGTAATAAATGTCACTTATGAAATTTTTTTTCACTTATTATTACCAAGTAACAATAACTGCATTGACAGAGTTTGTCATCATAGTATGAGCTACTATGATGACAAATAATACTTTATTGTAGTTTTGTAAGATATGTGAAAATGTAATTATGTCTTATTTATAGATATTAAAGAGCTTACCTAGTTATCTATATGCAACTAAATCAAATCTTTATTCCGGAGCCCTAAATATTTCTTTGCTACGTCTCTCTATATAGTACAGTTCATCAGTTTAAAATGCACTTAAGTGGTATAAAATGCCTTTTAATTTAAAGTATTATCTTTTGCTTTTGGTTTCCCTGTGTACTTTGGCTGTTAATCTAGAATTTTTCTATTTTCAGCTTACGCATGTAATGTCATACCATTATCTTTTAGAGTTCCTCTATTACTCAACAAAATAAGTTGATATTTGGTGGGGAGATAGTAGTTAGGTGAACTCTCAAGAGACCAACGCAGCAGCGAAGTGCAGTGGAAAATGCACAGAGCAACCTTAAGCCATGTGACATCTATGTATGTGAACACATACATACTCGTGTCATTTCTGATATATAGACTTTTATCAGCTCTTCTTATCAAACTTGCTTGTCTTTCAGGGGTGACTGTTTGGCATGAGAAGAATATGTGTTAAAATCTAGCTTCTGCACTGACCAGTTGTGTGCCTTAGACTGTACACTTAGCCTCTGAGTCTGTTTCCTTATAAGGATGTTAGGGATCCTATATTAAATAGGATTGTGTCATTGTTTTTGGTTATTGGGAAATAAACATAAGAAAATTTGATTTTATGTTTATAATATTGTTGTGACACTGATTTACAAAAACTAGATAACATTTGGTTGTAATCAAATAAAAACATCAAACCTCAGTATAATATACTTTTTTTTCCCCCAAGGAAAAACTCCAATTGCATTGGGTTATTCTCTCATAGATAATCCCTATCTTGCAGGTTGGTTATGAGGCTACAATGAAATATTTGTTGACATTTATGCAGTGGATCAGTAAGGTGCACAGCTATGAAAAATAACGGGAGGGAACAATCACACTGAATTTTAGGAGCAAGTAATCTAACTATGATACTTTTTTATAGGGTGGTTACAAGTTACACATGGCACAGGCCATGTGTACACACGGTGTCAAAGGCTGCCTGACTGTGTATTGAGGTTCTCATTCATTCTCTAGGGGAAAATGCCACTTTGACACAGTCACTTGTGTCTAAGAAGGGGATGGTCTGGGCATGAGATGTACAGCATTTTGGAGTCAGGGTTCATGTAAAAGGAAGGTCTTTCAGTGTGGGAATCTGGTTGAGATTGGCAAACTCAGTAACATAATAGATTAGGTCTTGAAGCAAGTCTTGGTAAGTAAACTGTTAAAAAGTGGTAAGTGACTTTTTTGCCCAGGGAAGTAGTCTGTTCTGAAAGAAGAGCTATTTGCCCAGAGGAGCAAGCTGTTCAGTTGATAAATTGGTTTTCAAGCCATTTCCTGAATAAACAGTGTTGTTATTGATTGGTTTGTAGCCTGATCCTCCACAGGGTGACCAATCTCCTAGTTTTTCAGGCATGGAGGTGGTTCTTGGGATGCAGGACTTTCCATTTTAAAACAAGGACACCAAATTACTTAACTATGTGATTTTAAAAACCAGGCTTATTAATTTTGAGTGCTGACTAAAGGAAAGTAATTTTTCCTTTAAGACACTGTGATGTTTCCCCATCTTATCTTCATGACACCAAAACGTCACATTTATAGATAACCTGAAAAAAAATTAAGTTCTCTCCTTTGCTGGCCTAAAAGAAATCAATTCTTTAAATAAACCATTTTTTTTAAACTTAAAAAGTTGCATTTTCTTCCTTTCTTTTTTTTTTTTTTAAAGATTTTATTTATTTATTTGACAGAGATCACAAGTAGGCAGAGAAGCAGGCAGAGAGAGAGGAGGAAGCAGGCTCCCCACTGAGCAGAGGCCCGATGTGGGGCTCCATCCCAGGACCCTGGGATCATGACCTGAGCTGAAGGCAGAGGCTTTAACCCACTGAACCACCCAGGCACCCCTAAATAAACCATTTAAAAGAAAGTATAGAAAGGAAGGAAGGAAAGGGAAAAAACAACAAAGAAAGTGTGGTTGGCTGAATAATGATTCCCCTGTCCCACCCCACCCCCAAAGATGGTCAGATCCTAATTCCTAGAACCTGTGAATATGTTACCTTATATGGCAGAAGGGACTTGGCAGATATGATCAAGTTAGGGATTTCGAGATGAGGAAATTACATTTATTATCGATATGGGCCTGATATAGTCACAGAGATCCTTGTAAGTAGGAGGCTGAAGATCAGAGGAAGAAGCAATGTTATCATGCACATGGGTAGAAAAGGCTACGTGATGTGAGATAATGAGCGAGGGAATTTGGTTGCCTCAGAAGGTGAAAAAGGCAAGGAAAGACTCTCCCCTAAATCCTCCAGAAGGAAACAACCCTGTTAATACCTTAATTTTAGCCTCGTAAGATTCATTTTGGATTTCTGACCTCCAGAACCGCAAGAGGATAAGTTTGTGTTGTTTTAAATCACTAAATGTATGGTAATTTGTTACAGCAGCAAAAGGAATCTCGTACAGAGTATCTGGGAAATGAATAGCTATACCATGCTCCTTGGGTCATTATTTCTAGTTGCTTTTATGAGCAAAGCTTGTCTTACCTAGCAACAGTTGCTAAGTAAATTTAACAATTTAATTCTAGAGTCTGAAGAGAGCCACTGCTTAAATCTTCCCAAATCCAGTGCCCATACCTCATGTGGCAAAGACTTTCAGAACCATTCTTTGCCATTAGGCACATAACCAGTACCTAATCATGGCAAATCATTTTATTCTTACCAGCCTCTAACGTTGTCCTAAAACCCTGAACCTCTAACAGCTTTCTTAAACTTCTAGCTTTTCTTAAAACTTTTTTTTTCATACCATAAGAGTACTTTAACTGCACATAGTAAAAGACATCTAAAATTTAATTATGATCAGAAATCCGAATTACACAAGCTTTGTTTGCTGTGCTGTTTGTAATAAAATAATTCCACCAGCCCCTTTTGGGGAAACCTTCAAACGGATCCATGAATACAAGCCATTTAAGACCCGCTTTTATACTCACAAAGATATACTGGGTAAGTGAATGCTCTTTTACTTTGTTCTAATATTTGATAGCATTATGTATCATTCTTTCTGCTGTATAGACTTTTAGCAGGTCTTCTGAAAGTTGCTTGTCTTACAGGGGTGTCTGTTTGGCACGAGAAGAGTGTAGGTTGAAAACTAGCTTCTCCATTGACCAGTTGTGTGCCTTAGACAGTACACTTAGCCTCTCAGTCTGTGTTATAGGGATGTTAGGGATCCTATATTAAATAGGGATGTTAATACCTATTTGTAGGTTGGTTATGAGGCTTTGATGAAATATTTGTTGACACATAATAGTACATAGAAGTTCTTTTTGCGGGGCAACTGGGTGGCTCAGTGGGTTAAGCCGCTGCCTTCGGCTCAGGTCGTGATCTCAGGGTCCTGGGATCGAGCCCCGCATCGGGCTCTCTGCTCAGCGGGGAGCCTGCTTCCTCCTCTCTCTCTCTGCTTGCCTCTCTGCCTGCTTGTGATCTCTGTCAAATAAATAAATAAAATGTTAAAAAAAAAAAAAAGTTCTTTTTGCCCTTGTCTATACTTGGGCACCTTCCTAACACATAGGAGAGGAAATACCTTTAAGTAACACCTTAATAGGTGGTGGGTGACACTATAACCTTTACTAGTAGCTGGAGACATAAATGTAGATAACGTGGAAATAACCTGAGACTATTTACTGTCTAAGCAAATCAGATTGTTATCACAGGTTTGCTTCTCTCCTTCTTCCCATCAGAGTTTGCAGTCTGACTTTGAGCCTTAAAATGTTTTCCTAAGGGCTCTCAAAATACTTCTCTGATCCTCTCTTCCTGTAACCTGGTAAACTAGTGATTTGATTTCACTCCTGATCTTTGAAAATATGAAAAGCTAAAGAATGGAGAATCTTTTGAAAACACTATAGTGTAGGGGAGATCAGATATGGAATCATCCTCTATAAATGTCAACACCAAAACTGATTTTAACTTTCAGTACATTAATTATAACATCTAAAATGATTTAACTTTTTATGTCCAGGCAGTGGATATCCATTCTTAGATGTGTGTTTATAGATCGATTCCTTATGCCTTCTGAGATATCTGAATCCAAACATTAAGTAGATAAATTAAATCTAACTAATTAGAAATTAATATTTTATATTCAGTGACCTCTATTTGTGATTGACTATTATAAGTCAAAAGAGTTAAAATTCTCTGTTCTTTTTAAATAAATTCAGGAGCATGTAGAAATGTCTGTATAAATGTTAAATAAATATTGCATAGGTCAGTAGTTCTCAACCATAGCAGTGCACACAGCTTTTATTTGTGTGTGTGTGTGTGTGTGTGTGTGTGTGTGTGTTTTAAAGATTTTATTTATTTATTTGACAGAGAGAGAGATTGCAAGTAGGCAGAGAGGCAGGCAGAGAGAGACGGGGAAGCAGGCTTCCTGCTGAGCAAAGAACCTGATATGGGGCTCCATCCCAGGATCCTGAGATCATGACCTGAGCCAAAGGCAGAGGCTTAACCCACTGAGTCACCCAGATGCCCCGTGTGTGTGTGTGTGTGTGTGTGTGTGTGTGTGTGTGTGTGTTTAAGTAGGCTCTGTACCCAACGTGGCGCCTGACATGGGGTTTGAACTCACAACCCTGAGATCAAGACCTGAGCTGAGATCAAGAGTCAGATGCTTAACTGACTGAGCTACCCTGGTGCCCCAGTTCACACAGCTTTTAAAACATTTGTTTTTACTACAGATATCTTAATACAGAGTCACAGGACTTAATGTTAATACAGACTCACTAAATTAGAACCTTCAGAATCAGGCTTCAGCATGTGTTGGTTATTTATTTATTTATTTATTTAAAATTTTTTTTTTAAATAAAGATTTTTATTTATTTATTTGACAGAGATCACAAGTAGGCAGAGAGGCAGGCAGGTGGGGCGGGGGCGAGATGCAGGCTCCCCACTGAGCAGAGAGCCTGACGCAAGGCTCTATCCCAGGACCCTGAGATCATGACCAGAGCTGAAGGCAGAGGCTTAACCCACTGAGCCACCCAAGAGCCCCTTTTTATATTTTTATATTTGTTTTATATTTTAATAGGTTTTCATTTGGAAATTGAGACTCACAAGTTTTAAAAACAGAACAAAGTTCCCTTGTACTCCTCCAGTTTCTCTCATTGGTATCTTACATAATGCTAGTATATTGTCAAAACCAGGAAATTGGTATTGGAACAATACTGTTAACTCAGGTGCAGACCTTACATTTATTTTTTTCTTGGTATACTTTATGAAATTTATCACGTGTAGGCTTACATAACCATCACCACAATCAGGACAGAGAACTGCTCTGTCACCACAAATAACTCCGTGTGTTACCCCTTAACACACCCTACCCTGAGCCACTGGCAACCACTAATCTGTTCTCCATCACTATAATCTTATCCCTTTGAGAATGTTATATAAATAGAATCATATAGTATGTAAATCTTTGAAATTAACTTTTTTCACTCAGTGTTATGCCCTTGAGATCCATCCAAGTTGTTCTTTGTATTAGTAGTCTTCCTTTCCAGGTATTTTTTTTTTTTTTAAGCTATGCGGGAATCCTCTTGTACAATCAGGGTTGAGAACAATTAATATAAAATAATGAAATTTGGGGGAGGAGTCAAGATGGCGGAGAAGTAGCAGGCTGAGACTACTTCAGGTTGCGGGAGATCAGCTAGATAGCTTATCTAAAGATTGCAAACACCTACAAATCCAACGGGAGATCGAAGAGAAGAAGAACAGCAATTCTAGAAACAGAAAATCAACCACTTTCTGAAAGGTAGGACTGGCAGAGAAGTGAATCCAAAGCGACGGGAAGATAGACGGTGGGGGGAGGGGCCGGCTCCCGGCAAGCGGCGGAGCAACGGAGCACAAAATCAGGACTTTTAAAAGTCTGTTCCGCTGAGGGACATCGCTCCAGAGGCTTAACTGGGGTGAAGCCCACGCGGGGCCAGTGTGGCCTCAGGTCCCGCAGGGTCACAGAAGGATCGGGGTGTCTGAGTGTCTCAGAGCTTGCAGGTATTAGAACGGGGAAGCCGGCTACAGAGATGGAGCCGAGGAGTGAGCTCACAGCTCGGGTTTACCTTGAACCGGTCGCAGGCTCGGTCAGCTCGGAGCGCGGCCGGAGGCCAGGGTGACTGGAGCAATTGGGCGCTGTTCTCTGAGGGTGCACTGAGGAGTGGGGCCCCAGACTCTCGGCTCCTCCAGGCCGGAGACTGGGAGGCCGCCATCTTCATTCCCGTCCTCCGGAACTCTACGGAAAACGCTCAGGGAACAAAAGCTCCCGAAAGCAAACCCGAGCGGATTACTCAGCCCGGCCCCCGGTAAGGGCGGTGCGACTCCGCCTGGGGCAAAGACACTTGAGAATCACTACAACAGGCCCCTCCCCCTGAAGATCAACAAGAAACCCAGCCAGGACCAAGTTCACCTACCAAGGAGTGCAGTTTCAATACCAAGGAGAGCAGCGGAATTCCAGAGGAGGAGAAAGCAAAGGACGGAACTCATGGCTTTCTCCCCATGATTCTTTAGCCTTGCAGTTAATTTAATTTTTTTATCTTTTTCAATTTTTTTCTCTTCTTCTGCTAATTTTTTTTTAACTTTTACCCTTTTCTTTTTTAACGTTTTTTAACTAGTTTATCTAATATATATGTATATATTTTTTCCGTTTTATATTTTTTCATTATTGGTTTTCTTTTTTTATTTGTTTCTTTTTTCTTTCTTTCTTATTTTCTTTCTGAACCTCTTTATATCCCCTTCCCCCACCCTCACGATTTGGGATCTCTTCTGATTTAGCTAAAGCATATTTTCCTGGGGTTGTTGCCATCCTTTTAGTATTTTACTTGTTCCTTCACATACTCTTATCTGGACAAAATGACAAGGTGGAAAAATTCACCACAAAAAAAAGAACAAGAGGCAGTACCAAAGGCTAGGGACCTAATCAATACAGACATTGGTAATATGTCAGATCTAGACTTCAGAATGACGATTCTCAAGGTTCTAGCCGGGCTCGAAAAAGGCATGGAAGATATTAGAGAAACCCTCTCGGGAGATATAAAAGCCCTTTCTGGAGAAATAAAAGAACTAAAATCTAATCAAGTTGAAATCAAAAAAGCTATTAATGAGGTGCAATCAAAAATGGAGGCTCTCACTGCTAGGATAAATGAGGCAGAAGAAAGAATTAGCGATATAGAAGACCAAATGACAGAGAATAAGCTGAGCAAAAGAGGGACAAACAGCTACTGGACCACGAGGGCAAAATTCGAGAGATAAGTGACACCATAAGACGAAACAACATTAGAATAATTGGGATTCCAGAAGAAGAAGAAAGAGAGAGGGGAGCAGAAGGTATATTGGAGAGAATTATTGGAGAGAATTTCCCCAATATGGCAAAGGGAACAAGCATCAAAATCCAGGAGGTTCAGAGAACCCCCCTCAAAATCAATAAGAATAGGTCCACACCCCGTCACCTAATAGTCAAATTTACAAGTCTTAGTGACAAAGAGAAAATCCTGAAAGCAGCCCAGGAAAAGAAGTCTGTAACATACAATGGTAAAAATATTAGATTGGCAGCAGACTTATCCACAGAGACCTGGCAGGCCAGAAAGAGCTAGCATGATATATTCAGAGTACTAAACGAGAAAAACATGCAGCCAAGAATACTATATCCAGCTAGGCTATCATTGAAAATAGAAGGAGAGATTAAAAGCTTCCAGGACAAACAAAAACTGAAAGAATTTGCAAACACCAAACCAGCTCTACAGGAAATACTGAAAGGGGTCCTCTAAGCAAAGAGAGACCCTAAAACTAGTAGATCAGAAAGGAACAGAAACAAGATACAGTAACAGTCACCTTACAGGCAATACAATGGCACTAAATTCATATCTCTCAATAGTTACCCTGAATGTTAATGGACTAAATGCCCCAATCAAAAGACACAGGGTATCAGAATGGATAAAAAAACAAAACCCATCTATATGTTGCCTACAAGA